TAATTTTTTGATTTATTGTAGAGATGAGATCTCGCCAAGTTGCCCAGGCTGTTCTCGAACTCGTGGGCTCAGGCAATCCTCTCACCTCTGCCTCCCAAAGTGTTGGGATTATAGGCGTAAGCCACCATGCCCAGCCTTTTTCTTTCTTTCTCTCTTTTTATTTTTTCGAGTTGGATTCTCACTATGTCACCCAGGCTGGAGTGCAGTGGCACGCTCACGGCCACTGCAGCCTTGACCTGCTGTGTTCAGGTGATCCTTCTTCCTCAGCCTTCCAAGTAGCTGGAACTACAGGCATGTGCCACCATGCCTGGCTAATTTTTTTCTTTATTTGGAGATGAGGTCTTGCCAAGTTATCTAGGCTGGTCTTGAATGTGGGCTCAGGCAGTCCTCTCACCTCTGTCTCCGAAAGTTCTGGGATTATAGGCATGAGCCACTGTACCAGGCCTTTCTTTTTTCTTTTTTTTGTTTGAGACACCGTCTTAGTCTTGCCCTCACTCGGAGTGCAGTGGCACGATCATGGCTCACTGCAGCCTTGACCTCCTGGGCTCAGGTGTTCCTTTTGTCTCAGTCTCCTGAGTAGCTGGGACTACAGGCACACACCACCACGCCTGGCTTCTTTTTTGATTTTTTTGTAGAGACGAGGCTTTGCTATGTTGTTCAGGCAAGTCTCGAATTTCTGGGGTCAAGCAGTTCTCCTGTCTCAGCCTCCCAAAGTGCTGGGATGAGTGTTCAGTTCTAAGTTGACTGACACATACAGCTGGGTAAGCAAGACCATGTCAAGAAATCTTTCAAGTCCCACAGGTGATTAATGTGCTGCCAGGGTTGGAAACCAACCCAGGGTCTTGTCTCCTGCTTGGAGGTGGAACTTCCAAAGGAGGCCAGCAAGGAGCCCTCCAGAGTGGGGAGGACCCGGTATCCAGCACCTCGGCCTTGGCGTGCAAGCAGGTCAGACAGTTAGGCACAGCCTCCCTGTGGGCGCAGGGACAGGAAGCAGGGCTCAGAGCACCTCGTGGGGGAGGGAGCGGCAAATGGGGCGGGCAGCCCCTCCCAGGGCCAGAACCCACTTCCTACTTTACTACAGCACTGAAAGAGGCTGGTAGGAGAGCTGAGCCTCCCCCAGCCCTTCCCTTCCCTCCACACTTCTGCTGGCTCAAGAAGGTACAGCAACCCTGCCGGGGTGTCTCCAGCCGGCAGGATGGAGGACGAGGAAGGCCCTGAGTACGGCAAACCTGACTTTGTGCTTTTGGATCAAGTAACCATGGAGGACTTCATGAGGAACCTACAGCTCAGGTAGGCCCAAAGCAGTGGGTCCTCCAGAGTTCCCACCCTATCTCCAGGGTCCCCACCCTCCAGGGTTCCCACACCTCATCCTCAAAGAGACCCAAGAGAAACGGGAAGGCACAGTGATAGCCATCAGCAGAGGAGAGGCAGCAGCATATACACCCACCCAGATCACGCTGGGGCTGAAATGAGTACCTCAAAGCACTGCCCCAGTGAGATAGGAACAGACCAGGAAGCCACTGTCCCTACCAGGGCTGGCGAGCCAGTGCTGGAGCTGCCTTCCATCCTGCCCCTGCCTCCCTGCACAGTCCAGCTGTCTGTTGCCCCTTCATTTCTGCCCAGAGCACAACCCCCATCAGACAGATAGGCATCGGGCACTGGGACTAAGGTCTGTACCCTCTTCCCAACCCGTTCCTGGCCAGTTGCTGATGTTCCCTTGATGCATCTCACGTGTGGGGCCCGGTCTGAGTCCTAGGGACACTGAGATGAAGCAAGTAGTCCCCACTCTAGGATTCAAATGATCTACTGAGTTGGGTTGACACTGTGGTAGGGTGTGTAGGGTGGGTGTGTAAGACACAGCTTGTAGAAGTGACATAAAAGCCCAACTTGCCATCAAGGAGGGTGGACAGAAGGCAGGGAGGAGCCAGGGAGGTGGAAGCATGGCACATTGGGGTGACTATTCAGGCAATTGGGCTTCATGCCCAGACTCCCAGGGAGGCACAGAAGGCTGCCTGCTATGTGATCAGGAAGTTCCCTGGGGAAAGTTTGAGGACTGGGAGACCCAAGCACAGAAGCTAAGAGCCTGGCCTCAACCAGTCTCACAAAAAATTAGTTTGTAAAAAAGTCACTATCATCTCCATTTTGGTGATGAGAACACTGAGTCCTGGAGAGGTGGGTGACTTGCCCCAGCCACATAAATTATAGGAAAGTGGGAGCTGGGCCTGGGATTACCCAAATCAGAGGCAAGAGAGGAAGAGGAATCCGAGGACAGGGCCACCAAGGGACAGGCCAATAGAGAACAGAGTTGCTGGGTAAGAGTGGGCCCCACACACCAAGGAGAGGCAGGGCCTGAGGGGCAGGCCAGATGGTCCTCTTCCCGTGAGCAAAAAGTCAAGAAAGGAGTGGACATAGGCTTCTACTAGTGACCGGGTCTGTGGAGGGTGCTGCAACCCTCTCCCTGTCATCTGGGTGGGGCTGGGCGTGGTCCCTTTCTGTCTCTGCGTTCCTGCCCAGGCCTTGAGACAGGAAACTACTCAAGGCTCCTCCCTCTTCTCCCCTTCCTTTCAACCCCATCTCTCCTTCTACCCTGTGGGGTCCAACCCAGGAGCCAGCCCTGACTCTGCCATGCCCAGTGTGGTCTTGGGCAAGTCTGCTCTCTTCGTAAAATGGATGGCCATGAATTCTGTGACCCCAGAACCCTCAGGACAGTTGCATGGACCCCAAACTTACCCCGAGGTGAGGGCAGGCTCTGAGTGGCACAGCTTACCCAGGTGGTACTAGGGAGACTCAAGGTCCACACCCACCCGTTCTCCCTTCTTCACGCTCAGCTTACCAGGGCCCCAGAATGAGCTGTGGTGAGAGGCCTGTGTGTCCCTCAAGGCCTGTAAGTGCTAAGGCCTGGTCTTGCTGTGCCCAGGTTCGAGAAGGACCGCATCTACACCTACATCGGCGAGGTGCTGGTGTCTGTGAACCCCTACCAAGAGCTGCCCCTGTACGGGCCCGAGGCCATCGCCAGGTACCAGGGCCGTGAGCTCTATGAGCGGCCGCCCCACCTCTATGCAGTGGCCAATGCCGCTTACAGGGCAATGAAGCGCCGGTCCAGGGATACCTGCATTGTCATCTCAGGTAGGTGTCCCTGCAACCAGGCCCCCCACCCTCAGCATCCTCACTTTGGAACGGTTGGGGAAGGCCATCAGGGTGTCTTTCACGCCCTATGTGGCCTCAGTACCCCATCACGCCAGTCCTGGGGTTCCAGTGGGTGCAGGGAGCTGGTCTAAGGGGGCACAGCCTGGCTGATTCTGTCAACCCCCGTCTTTTTGGCAGGGGAGAGTGGAGCAGGGAAGACAGAAGCCAGTAAACATATCATGCAATACATCGCTGCTGTCACCAACCCCAGTCAGAGGGCTGAGGTGGAGAGGTGAGTGGCAAGGGGCAGCAGCGGACTCAGCATGGCCAGGAACCTCAGTGTGATGGAAAGGGCCTGGCACCGGGAACCAAGAGATGGGAACTGGAGCCTAGCTCTAGCCAAGTTCATCAGGAAGGTCCCAGGTTACTCCAACACACCCAGAGGTAAGACAGGCTGGCCCACACCAGGACCTCTCCAATGAGGTGGGTGAGATCCAACCAAGGGATGCAGGCTGCCAGCTGGGAGGAGCAGCAGCAACAGGTAGGACATGGAAAGGGCAGCAGGGCCCAGAGACACCTGAAATGGCTCAGGGACAGGGCAGTGGGTACTCCACAGGGGAGTTCACGGGAGCCTGGAGAAGCTGTTGGGTCCTGGTCAGGATAGCCGAGCATGCCAGGCAGGTGTGTAGGTGACATCTGGGAATCAGGAAACCAGGCTGGCCCACTTGCCTGTTCACTCTCCTTCAGGGGCCTTATGGAAGCAGCTTCCTGTGTCAGAACGTATCTCTTCCAGTTGAGATGCAGTAGGGTAGGGTTCAGAAGGAACAAGCTATGTCAGTTTCTGAGTCCATGTGGCCGGCATTGCTGCCCACCCCTGCAGCTAGTGGTCCAAGGTCCTCTCCAGGCTGCAGCTAAGATCTGGGAGAGGAGGAGGTGGCCAAGAGAAACAGACCTGGTCTCAGTGCTGTGCAGGCCAGTCGAGTACAGCCAGCTTGGCAAGTGCGTGTACTAGTGCCTCAGAGGTGACTTGATCACCACACAGCCCCAGAGGCCGTGCTGGGCGAGGCTGGGCCCTCCGCCTGTTCTCAGCCGGCTTCTTTAACCATCCTAGGATGCTGTGATTTCTGAAGGAAGACTCAGGGGCAGGGACACCAGTCCCCAGGTGAGAGATCATTGCCTTGAGCCCTGGCCTGTCTACCCTACAGGGTCAAGGATGTGCTGCTCAAGTCCACCTGCGTGCTGGAAGCCTTCGGCAACGCACGCACCAACCGCAACTACAACTCCAGCCGCTTCGGCAAGTACATGGACATCAACTTCGACTTCAAGGGGGACCCGGTCGGGGGACACATCCACAGCTACCTGCTGGAGAAGGTGGGCAGGTGGGCTGAGGGGACCCCCATGGGAAACCCTGGCTGAGACCAATCCCAGGCCTGACGTTGACGGTTAGGAAGGCTCGGCTCTCCCTGTGGCCCTTCAGTGTCCTCGTGGCCAGGGCTTTCTGACCCCAGCTTCCCCTGCACCTGTGAACACTCAGAAGGGGTCACCAGGGGCAGATTCCTTTCCAGGCGTGAGTCTAGCTGCCCCTCTCTCCACAGTCTCGGGTCCTCAAGCAGCATGTGGGTGAAAGAAACTTCCATGCCTTCTACCAGGTGAGCCACCAAGGGCAGAGGGAGGAGGGAAAAGATGGAGAGGGGGAAGGGTAGCAGCAGGCTGCACCCAACTCGCGATCCTTCCCCACTTTGCCCCACTCGACCCCACCTAGCCCATCGTCCTCGTCCCTCCTACACTCACCACAAGCCATACCTCGTAAACAAGAAGGGGCAAGTTCACAGAGAACCGAAGCGGATGTCCCTTCCATCTGAGACACTTGGGCAGATGAGGGCCCTCTGGGACCCAGACAGCATCTCCCTAAGCTCTAAGCTCCCCACTGAGGTGGGCATTCCCTGGGACACAGGCAGTATCTCCACCGAGTCAGAGCTCAGCCCTGAAGTGGGGCTCACTGGAAGGTGAGGTGTGGCAAAGTGTCTCCAGAACCCTGAGCTACCACTCATGTGCAGTTCCCTGAGACATGGGCAGTGTCTCCACTGATTCTAGGCACTCTTTGAGATTAGAGCCCCCAGGGACATGGGCAGTGCCTTCACAAGTGCTGAGCTCCCCCGCTGAGGTGGGAAGCCCTGGAAACAAACATTGTCTCTGTAGTCCAGAGCTCGACACTGAATTGGAGTTTTCTGGCACACCGGCAGTGTGTTCACTTACTCTGTGTGGCCTGCTGAGGTGGAAGCTCTCTGGGACATAGGCAATGTGTTGGCAGGCTCTGAGCTTCCCCCACTGACTGAGAGAGGCCTGGGACATGGCCACTGTCTCTAGAAACTCAGAGCTCCCCACTGAGTTAGAAGCTCCCTTGCCACACAGTGTCTCTACCAACTCTCAGCTCCCCAGTGAGGTGGGAGCCCCCTGGAACATCAGGAGAGTCTCTGTGGCCTGAACTCTCCCTGAGACAGGAGCTCCCCGGGATTCAGACATCCTCCATGAACTGTGAACTGTCCATTGAGGTGGGAGCTCCCTGGGACATAGGCAGTGCCTTTAAGGACTCAGGGCTCCCTACTAGGTGGAAGCTTCCAGGGACCCGGCAGTGTCTCCACGGACACTGAACTTACTGAGGTGGAAGCTCCCTGGGACAAGCACAGCGTCTCATAGACTCTGAACTCCCCATGGGATAAGAGCTCTGTGAATCTCCAACAGAGTATCCAGGAACTATAAACTCCCCAGTGATGCAGGAGCTCTGTGGGACACAGGCAGTGTCTCTGTGGACTCTGAACTCTCCACTGAGGTGGGATCTCCCTGGGTCTAGAGCAGTGTCTTCACAGAGTCTGAGCTCCCCACCAAGATGAGGATGAGCGGGTGGGGCTGTGTCTTCAAAGTGAACTCCTAGCTCCCCCTGAAGTGGACTCCCTGTCACATGGCTGGTTCTTCATCTTCTCTGACCCACTGAACTGGGAGCTCACTGTCTCCAGTGTTCACACTGTGTGTGATCTTCCCCTGTTTGTTGGTTTTGCACTGGAAGGAAGCATGTGTCTGTCTTCCTGCCTCTGTGGGACCCTGGGAACTTATTTGTCTAACTAGGGATGTCTGTGTCCTCCAGTTGCTGAAGGGCAGTGAGGAAGGCTTACTGCACAAGCTGCATTTGGAGAGAAACCCTGCTGTGTATAACTTCACGCGCCAGGGAGCTGGACTCAACATGACTGTGAGAGGCACCGGGGACGCAAATTGGGCTTGGTGGCAGGGTCCTGAGTGAGGTGGTAGGGAATGGGCAGCAATTAGCACAGGCCAGGGTGATGTGAGCCACGCTGGTGAGTGGGGAGGGTGCTTGGGGTGGAGGAAGAAAGACGCATGGAAGGGACAAGGTGCAGGGGCGAGCAGGTGCCTGGGGTGGAGGAATCGGGGTTTAGGAAAGGTAGGAGTCCTGAGCCTAGGGTGGCTTGGGGTGGTGAATCCCTTCTCCCCTAGGCCTCGGACAGTGACGAAAGGAGCTACCGAGCAGTAATCGAGGCCATGAAGGTCATCGGCTTCAGTTCTGAGGAGGTGGAGTCCGTGCATCGCATTCTGGCTGCCATATTGCACCTGGTGAGCCTGGCTCGAGGGCCTGGGAGGGCTACCTACTTACAGGTGTTTCCTGGTTGGGAGTCACCCAGGGAGGATGAGGAGACTGGCTTGAGATGTCCCAGTGATGTGGCTCCCTCCTGACTCCCTCCCCTGCAGAAGCTGAGTTGCTTGGGCGGTGAGCTCAGTGAGTGTGTGGTAGATAGCCTGTCCTTAGGGGCCAGGGCTGCCAGGCACAGTAAAAGCCAAACATTGTGCAACTGCCTCCTGGTGAAGTTGTGGGTAAGCTGGGAGGCTTTGGGCACATTACTCAGCGCCTCTGGGCCTCAGTTCTCTCTGAGTAGCATGAGGCGGAAGCGGTGGAGAATGCTTTGGGCTGCTGGGAGGATGCAACGGGGCCATTCCCATATCGTTTGGACGCGAGGCCTTGGCAAAGACTCTGGTGTGCCCCCACCCAATCTCTGACTGTGTCTGTGCCCATGGTGTCCTGACCAGCTGACTGAGCAAGAGCTGGGTTCCACTGCATCTGCATCTCTTCCTCCTCCCTGCCCAAAGACATCCAGCCTCCTTTGGGCTATGGAGCCTGGACCATTCACGGTTACCCCATCACCAGGGAAACATCGAGTTCGTGGAGACCGAGGAGAATGGGCTGCAGAAGGGGGACCTGGTGGTGGCCGAGAAAGTACTGGTGGACCATGTGGCTGAGCTGACAGCCACACCTCGGGACCTCGTGTCCCGCTCCCTGCTGGCTCGAACTGTGGCCTCAGGAGGCAGGGAGCTCATAGAGAAGGGCCACACTGTAGCGGAGGCCAGCTACGCCCGGGACGCCTGTGCCAAGGTACTCCTGGGGCACACGGAGGGAGGGAAACCCAGGAGGCCTTCATGAGATAGGCCAGGCCAGAGGCAGCAAGAAGTAGAGCGCCCCTGTACCCCAGGCAGTATACCAGCGACTGTTTGAGTGGGTGGTGGACAGAATCAACAGCGTCATGGAACCCCGGGGCCGGGACCCGCGACGTGATGGCAAAGACACGGTCATCGGTGTGCTGGACATTTATGGCTTCGAGGTGTTCCCTGTTAACAGGTGGGTGACCAGCCAACCGCATCTCTACCTCTGACCCCCATCTGCTATGGCTGCCTAGTCCCAGGGAGCTCAGCTGAGAGGCTGGGAAGCAGGACTGTCTGGGTGTCTCCCAGCAGATCCCTGGGCCCAAGGCGCACGTCCCCCGAGCCTGCCTTGGCTGCACCTCTCAGCCACTAGGGCCCTGATGGAAGGCAAAATGATGGGGCTCTCTTCTCCTGGCTGTGGCTCCCCAAGTCCACTCCAGAACGTGCGTGCAGGATGAGGGGGTGGGTCCAGGAAGAGCCCGTGGCTAGGGTACGTAACCCACACAGGGGAGCCATGCAGGCTTGTGGCCCGACCCCTCGATGGACATCAGGGGAGATGTTCAGGGAGAGGTGCCCTCCGTGCCTGCGTGATCCACAAGGAGTGACAGCCCTCTAAAAGGCCCACCTGCCCCCAGCTTCGAGCAGTTCTGCATCAACTACTGCAACGAGAAGCTACAGCAGCTCTTCATTCAACTCATCCTGAAGCAGGAGCAGGAGGAATATGAGCGCGAGGGCATCACCTGGCAGACCGTGAGCACCCGTGGCCTGGAGGGCGGGCTCAGGGCGAGTGGGTGCGATGCAGAAGGGCATCAGCAGCCTCTGGGGGGAGGGCTCTCCAGGCTGCCCGGCTGGGTGCCTAGGGGGTGGTAGCGACGGGCGGTGACTGGGAGAGCCTCCCTGCTGGCCATCGCCACCCCAGGTCGAGTACTTCAACAATGCCACCATCGTGGACCTGGTGGAGCGCCCCCACCGTGGCATCCTGGCTGTGCTGGATGAGGCCTGTAGCACCGCAGGAACCATCACCGACCGCATCTTCCTGCAGACCCTAGACACGCATCACCGGCACCACCCACACTACTCCAGCCGCCAGGTGCCCCTGACCGTCCAGCACCAGCACAGTGGGCTGGTGGGATCTGCCCTGCAGGGCACCACTCGGCTTGTGTCTCATGAGGCTTGGGTGGGGACCTGGCTTTGGGCTGTTGCCATCCCTGTGGTGGCCTCTGCTGCCCCAGTGGAGCTGAAGGAGGACCCTCCCCCGTGCAGGCTTTCTCCCCCCAACACCTTCTATGCCTTGACCTTGGCCTGTCCCCACAGCTCTGCCCCACAGACAAGACCATGGAGTTTGGCCGAGACTTCCGGATCAAGCACTATGCAGGAGATGTCACGTAAGGGCCCCCTCCCACCCGTGTCGCTGGCCTTCCCATGGGGCACCATGGCATGTGTCACGGGGCAGAAGTGCTCCAGGGGAATAGCTGGGAGACAGGACCCCTTCTGCCATTCCTGCCCCTTTGAGACACAGAAGACGTACCCCACACCAGAGTTACAAGTGTAGAGCGGGAAACGGGGTTTGAGGATGGTGGTCCTCAACTCTGGCTGCCTTTGTCTGGGAGCCTTTAAAAAATAACCACACCTCTGGCCAGGCTCGGTGGCTCAGCGGCTCAGCGGCTCAGCTTGTAATTCCAGCACTTTGGGTGGCTGAGGTAAGTGGATAACCTGAGCCTGCGGGTTCGAGACCTGCCCGGGCAACTTGGAGAGACCTTGTCTCTACAGTAAATCAAAAATTAGCCGGGCATGGTTGCACATGCCTATAGTTCCGGCTGCTTGGAAGGCTGAGGTGGAAGGATCACCGGAGCCCAGCAGGTCGAGGCTGGGGTGGCCATAAGTGTGATGCCACTGCACTACCGCCTGGGCGACAGAGTGAGACTCCAGCTCAAAAAATAAAATAAAATAATAATAATTGCATCTCAAGTCTGGGTTCTCCCCTGTACCAGCATCTGTTGGGTAGGTGGGGGCTGCAGGTTGACAAAGTGGGGGCCAGGAAGGGCTTGAGGGAGCCAAGACTCTACATTTCTTTTCTTTCTTTCCTTTTTTTTTTTTTTTGTCGGGGTCTCACTCTGATACCAAGGCTGGGGTTTAGTAGCACAGTCACACTCACCACAGCTTGGATCTCCTGGGTTCAGGTGATCCTTCTGCCTTAGTTCCCCAAGTAGCTGGGGCTACAGGTATGCGCCACCACGTCTGGCTAATTTTAAAATTTTTTCGTAGAGACGCGGTATCACTGGGTTGCCCAGGCTGCTCTTGGACTCCTGGGCTCAAGAGAGCCTCTCACCTCAGCCTCCCAAATTGCTAGGATTACAGGCGTGAGCCACTGCACCCAGCCCAACTCCGCATTTCTTTTTTTCTTTATTTCTCTTTTTAATGAGAGGTTTTTGTTTTTGTTTTGTTTTGGTTTTGAGTGGGAGTCTCAATCTGTCACCCACGCTGGAGTGAAGTGGCACAATCACATTTCACCACAGCCTTGACTTCCTGGGCTCAGGTGATTCTTCCACCTCAGCATCCTGGCTAGCTGGGACTACAGGCTTGTTCCACTGTGCCCAGCTAATTTTTTTACTTTTTGTAGAGACAAGGTCTTACTATGTTGCCCAGGTTGGTCGGAACTCCTGGGCTCATGTGCCTCAGCCTTCCAAGTGCTGGGATAACACACATTTATTTATTTATTTAGTCGGAGTCTCACTCTGTCACCAGGTTGGAGTGCAGTGGCATGCTCACGGCCACCACTGTCTCGACCTGCTGGGTTCAGGCGATCCTTCTGTCTCAGCCTTCCAAATAGGTGTGTGCCACCACACCTGGCTAAGTTTTTTATTTTTCTTTTTATTGTAGAGATGAGGTCTCACCATGTTGCCCAGGCTGGTCTCGAACCTGTGGGCTCAGGTAGTCCTCTCGTCTCTGCCTCCCAAAGTGCTGGGATTACAGGCGTGAGCCACTGTGCCCAGCCTGAGATTCTGCGTTTCTAACAAGTTCCTGGGGAAGGCCTTGCTATGGTCCTAGGGCCATGTTCCAAGTACTAAGGCCTAGAGATTGGCATAATGATTATTTTTTTATGTGCTGCTTGCCTTATCTCAAAGTGATTGAAGGTGACTCACAGAAAAGGATAAGTGTCTAATATGAGCTTCACACGGAGAGGAAATAGAGTAGATAATTAAGACAAAGCAACCAGATGTCAGATTTGTTCCCAAGAATCCATGCCCTGAGCTTCACAGGTGTTGCAGGTGGAACCAAGACTTACAATGAACTTTCTAGCAAACCATGATTCTGAGCTGCTGCTTTTTTTTTTTTTTTTGAGTCAGGATCTCACCCATTGCCCAGGCTGGAGTGCAGTGGCACGCTCCCGGCCACCACAACCTTGACCTGATGGGCTGAGACGATCCTTCCTCCTCAGCCTTCCAAGTAGCCAGAACTACAGGCCCATACTTCTATGCCCAGCTAATTTTTTTTTTTTTCTGAGTTAGAGTCTCACTCTGTCACCCAGATTGGAGTGCAGTGGCCGCTCCCAGCCACCGCAGCCTCGACCTGCTGGGCTCCGGTGATCCTTCTGCCTCAGCTTTCCGAGTAGCTGGAACTACACACTACCACGTCCAGCTAATTTTTTATTTTATTGTAGAGATGAGGTCTCACCAAGTTGCCCGGGCAGGTCTCGAACCCGCAGGCTCAGGCAATCCACTCACCTCAGCCTCCCAAAGTGCTGGAATTACTGAGCCCGGCTGCTAATTTTTTTTTTTTTTTTAATTTATTGTAGAGACGAGGGCTCACCATGCTGCCCAGGCTGGTCTCGAACCCGCGGGCTCAGGCAATCCTTTCACCTCAGCCTCTCAAAGTGCTGGGATTATAGGTTTGAGCCACCGTGCCCAACTGATTCTGAGCTTCTTGATGCCCACAGATTAAAATAGACCCAACACTCAAGTTCCTGGCCATAATTGTAGTCACTGATATTTATCAAAACTCAGTAGACACTGTTCCAAGCAATTGACATACATTAAGACACAGAGAGGTTGAGTGGCTTATCCAAGTTCACACAGCACACAAAAAATAGAGCCAGGACTCAAGCCAGGAGATTTGGCTTCAGAGCTGGGGCTTAACCACTCAATGTATCTTCCAGTAGAGAAATTTTTCCTGAGCGAGGGAGTCTTAGGTGATGAAAGAGAAAGCAGGTATGAGGGGGAAGTAGGAGGGGAACCGAGGCACCAGGAACGGAGACTGACCTAGGAGATCAAAGGTAGTGGGGGGCGCTTCCTGGGGGTTGTCAGCACTCCGAGAGGAACAGCAGCCTCCCTCACTGGCCCTGGGTTCTGGCAGATACTCTGTGGAGGGCTTCATCGACAAGAACAGAGACTTCCTCTTCCAGGACTTCAAGCGACTACTGTACAACAGGTGAGCTTGGCTTACTGGGCACCACAAGGAAGGTCAGGGCCCCAGGGCTTTCAGAGACTGGGATCTGATCCTCCCCATCCCTCTCCCTCGGGTAGCATTAGGCTCAAGGCTAAGACCATGAAACTATTGCCCGTGGCAGTACGAGGATGGGCAGGGCTGTTGTCCCCAGAGGCAGCTGGACATGTGGTCTGTGTCTGCAGCACGGACTCCACCCTGCGGGCCATGTGGCCGGACGGGCAGCAGAACATCACAGAGGTGACCAAGCGCCCCCTGACGGCTGGCACGCTCTTCAAGAACTCCATGGTGGCCCTGGTGGAGAACCTGGCCTGCAAGGTGCGCCCTGCCCCATTCCCACCCCAGCCCTTCTGGATCTTTCTCTCTGTACGCTGAGTGCCATGTAGGATCCCTGACCACTTCTGTACATCATAGGTGCTTGGGGGAAGGTACTTGTCCTGTCTATATGAGCCACATCTGCTCCAGCAGGGGACCCCACCCACTGTACAAGTCAGTTGTAGGGGCTTAGAGACTGGGCTGAGGTCACTGAGGACAAAGCAGGATTTGAACTCAGCCTTCCCCTTGCCCCATTGTCTCCTGGGCAGGGAGGGGCTTGGGGAATCCCTGCTTGGAGTTTGGCCTGGCCCAGTCCAGCTCCTGCCAAAAGCCCAAGATTCTTTTGGCAGGCGGGGCCACAGGGATAGGAAACTGGCACTAGCTGTCTTGGAGAGCTTTGGGCCCAAAGTCAGGGAGACCTGGGGGGGTGAGGATGTGGCAGGGCGGCTTTAACAATAGAACAAAGTTGGGCACGGTGGCTCACGCCTATAATCCCAGCACTTTGGGAGGCTGAGGTGAGAGGATTGCCTGAGCTTACAGGTTCGAGCCCAGCCTGGGCAACTTGGTGAGACCTCATCTCTACAATAAATCAAAAAATTAGCCAGGCATGGTGGCACATGTCTGTAGTTCTAGCTTCTTGGAAGGCTGAGGCAGAAGGATCACCTGAGCCCAGCAGGTGGAGGCTGCGGTGGCCGTGAGCATGCCACTGCACTCCAGTCTGGGCAACAGAGTGAGACTCTGACTCAAAAAAAACAATAGTACATCCAGAGATGTCAGCCCTTCTTGGAATAAGAACAGAGGGGCAGATGGGGTGAGGCCTGTTCTGCTCCCCCTGGTTGGAACCTGGCTCGGAACCCAGCTTCCTTGCTGGCCCCTGCCCTGGTGCTCTGGGCTTCTGGGGCCCTTGTTCTGCTGGGATTTTACATGTCCCTGACTCTCCTCCTGGCCTGGGTCCTTGGGGGACTGGGGAAGTCCCTGACTTGGGGAAGGGCACACAGTGCTGCTGGCCCAGGTTCCCTCCAAGTCCCCTCGGTCCTGCAGGAGCCCTTCTACGTCCGCTGCATTAAACCCAATGAGGACAAGGTGGCCGGGAGGCTGGACGAGGACCACTGTCGCCACCAGGTCGCATACCTGGGGCTGTTGGAGAATGTGAGGGTCCGCAGGGCTGGCTTCGCTTCCCGCCAGCCCTACCCTCGATTCCTGCTCAGGTACTGGCACACGACACCCACCACTCTGTGGGCCACAGTCCCCGCTGTGCAGAGCCCAGCGCTTCACAGCGCCAGCACGAGCGGGAGCTGGCATGCTGCTGGCCTCAAGACATAACCTCGGCCAGACTCCGTGGCTCAGCCTGTCATCGCAGCACTTTGGGAGGCCGAGACGAGTAGAGTGCCTGAGCCCGGGGGTTCAAGATCAGCCCAGGCAACTTGGAGAGACCTTGTCTCTACAATAAGTCAAAAATTAGCCAGGTGTGGTAGTGCACCTGTAGTTCCGGCTGCTTGGAAGGCTGAGGCAGAAAGATTGCCGGAGCCCAGCAGGTCCATGCTGGGGTGGCCGTGAGTGTGCCACTGCCCTCCAGCCTGGGCGACGGAGTGAGACTCCAACTCAAAAAAAAAGGAAAGGCACTAATGTCTGTGAGGACATGTATGAGGATGTGTGTGAGGATATGTAGGAGAACATGTGGAAAGACACGTGTGAGAATACGTGTGAGGACACATGTGGGAGGACAGGTGGGGACACGTATGTGAGGACGGGTGGGGATGTAAGTGAGAGGAGACATGCACACAGGTGTCATAGGAACATACTGGGAGGATTTGGGTCCTGGGGACTCTCAGCACCCCTGCCATCTCCCCGTGGGTTGGGGAGGATGGGGAGGTAGGGTAGGCTCCATGCCCCCTCCCCAAGGCCTGGCCCCATCTCCCTGTCCTTCTGTGACAGGTACAAGATGACCTGTGAGTACACATGGCCCAACCACCTGCTGGGCTCCGACAAGGCGGCCGTGAATGCTCTCCTGGAGCAGCACGGGCTGCAGGGGGATGTGGCCTTTGGCCACAGCAAGCTGTTCATCCGCTCGCCCCGGACACTGGTCATGCTGGAGCAGAGCCGAGCCCGCCTCATCCCCATCATTGTGCTGCTGCTGCAGAAGGTGAGGTGGACCGATGCCCACCACTGTGAGGAAGGGCTTGTCCCGGGGGCCACAAGCACACTTACAAGTTCCACAGGTGTCTCTGCTTGATGGAGACAGGCCAGGATTGAGACTGACCTAATCAGAAAGTATGGATGCAGTTGAGGCGCCACGGTCTGTGGCTACCAGCTTCAGGCCCAGGTGGATCCAGGTGCTCAAATCAAGATTTTTAGGAATCTGGCTTTCTTCCCTTCCTCCTATTAAGAAAGATTTCAGGCCTGGAGAAAGGTATGCAGAATGGTATGCTAGACTCTCACACCCCTGCCCAGCTTCAGCCTTGCCAGTAAGGTGTTGTATAGAGGCTTGCACCTCTAGCCCGACAAAGCATGGCATCCAAAAACCTTGCAGTACATATTTCCAGAGAATAAGGATTCTTTCCCTTCTCCTCAGAATGTTTTATTTTGAAACAATTCAAACCTACAGAAAAGTTGAAAGATCAGTACACCATAAGCTGTTCACCTGGATTGCTGCGACAATGCTCCTTCCCTCCCCTTCTCTCTGTCTCTTTCTTTGCCTCTCTCAGCCTCTCTCTATCTCACCCTCTCTCTCTGCCTCTTTTTCTCCCTCTCTCTCTGTGTCTCAGTCTCTCTCCCTGTCTCTCTTGTCTCTTCCACACACACACATTCAAATATATATCTACTTATATTTTCTCCTGACCTATATAAAGACACCCCTAAATACTTCAGCAGTTATATCCTAAGAGCAAGGACATTCTCTTTATAGCCATGGTAACATTGGCACGTTGTTATTGATAAAACAATAACCTACATATCTGAATATCTAATGTGTATTCAAATGTCTGCAATTGTCCCACCATTACCCATGACATCTTCTTAAAGTCCAGGAGCCAATCACTGATCACACTCTTCATTTGTTACCTCTGTTGTCTCCTCTAACACACAGGGGTTGACAGTGCCTTCATCTCAGTGTAGAAAGTTCACACTGCTTGTTGCTATCAATTCCCAGTTGGGCTGGGTGCTCATGCCTGGAATCCCAGCATTTTGGGAGGCGGAAGCAAGAGGATTGCCTGAGCCCACGGGTTCGAGACCAGCCTGGGCAACATGGCAAGATCTCATCTTGACACCAAATCAAAAAACTAGCTGGGTATAGTAGCATATACCTGTAGTTCCAGCTTCTTGGAAGGCTGAGGCAGAAGAATTGCCTGAGCCCAGCAGACTGAGGCTACGGTGGCCAGGAGCGTGCCAATGTACTCCAGCATGGGTGACAGAGTGAGACTCTGACTCAAAAAAAAGAAAGAAAGAAAAAGAAAAACTCCCAGTTGGTTCTCAGACCTCTCCAAACATCCCATGATGTTTTGCTTCATCTGTTGAAGTCAGGATCCATACATTGCAGTCAGTTGTTAAAGTCTGTTTTAATCTGTGGGTCCCTGGGCTGCCTGCCTTGCAGACTCTCCAGTCTGGGTTTTGACAGTCACATGCTTGGGCGTCCCTCTGTCTCGAGATATCCCAGGAGTTGGAGGTTAAATCTACACCAGGTCAGATTTCAGATGAACTCGTTAGCAGGTGCCCTCATAGGTGGGAAATCACCTTCTTCTGTTTCAATCTCTTCTCATGTGAGCTTTCTCCCCTGGGGGAGCCTGGGAGTCTCCATTGGTGCAAGATCCCAGCTTCAAAAGCCTGGAACAAGCGAGCAACTCTTTCCCAAGAGTCAGCAGAGCCTTGGGCAGGGCTCACCTGGCCTAGGGAAACAACCTCCAACCAGGCAGATGTAGTTCCTAGGAGTCAGGGGCTGGGTCCCTGGGGACAAGCAAGTGGTGCTCAAGAAGGCTTAGGGTCAGAGTTGGGGTGAGGAGGCCGGGGCCTGATTGGGCCTCACCGTGTGTCCCATCCCACCTGTCCAGGCGTGGCGGGGGACGTTGGCAAGGCGGCGCTGCAAGCGGCTGAGGGCCATCTACACCATCATGCGCTGGTTCCGGAGGCACAAGGTGCGGGCTCACTTGGTGGAGCTGCAGCGGCGATTCCAGGCGGCGAGACAGCCCCCACTCTATGGGCGTGACCTCGTGTGGCCACCGCCCCCTGCCGTGCTGCAGCCCTTCCAGGACACCTGCCACGTGCTCTTCTGCAGGTACTGCCCTTGGCCCACTGTGCTCGAGCCCTCAGCCTACCCCTTCCGCCCGCATCCACAGAACACCTGAGCCTGTTGTCCCAGCCTCACGGTTCCCTGCTGGGAGACACACCAGATCCCTTGATGGGCTCGAAGTTGGGGGGCTGTGCCACATTCGCTGGCTGCCCACGTCCCATGGGTTAGTGGTAGAGCCCTGACCATCCTGGGCATGTGAGGTCCAGGCCTATAGCCTGCAGAGGGCTGGGGAGTAGAAAGACTCTGCATCACAGCAGGGCCTTGAAGGCTGAGTAGTTCTCCAGAAGGAGTGGCACAGAGCAGTGTGCTCAGAGCAGGAGCGCTCTGGGCAGCTGCAGGTCTCTGGGCCACCTTCCAGGTACAACCATTAGGTACAAGGGGCCAAGACAGAGTGGCAGGTAGAAATTGGGACACGGAGGGAGCCAGTGCCAGGCTGAGGGCTCCCGACTTTCTCCTGTGAGGAACAGGCCAGAGGAAGGCTGTAACACAGTCCGTCTGACTGTCTGCCCCCTCCCAGGTGGCGGGCCCGGCAACTCGTTAAGAACATCCCCCCTTCAGACATGGCCCAGATCAAGGCCAAGGTGGCTGCCATGGGGGCCCTGCAGGGGCTTCGTCAGGACTGGGGCTGCCAGCGGGCCTGGGCCAGAGACTACTTGTCCTCTGTAAGTGCTGGGTGGACAGCGGGGTGGGACTTTGGGGTTCGGGGGGCAAGGGGCTGGAGGGTGGGGAAGCAGGCTACCAAGAGAGCTTATGGCGAACACTGAGCCCTGGTCTCCTCAGGCTTCCTCTCCCAGACCTGGGGTTGTCTGTCCTGTTGACCCTACTCTTAGCGCCCACCCCTCTCCCTATGGTTTTTATTCCTGATGTTTAAGGGTGTCCATCTGGCCCCACCAGCCTGGGTTTTACTGACCAACCCTCCATCCCCGCTCCCATGTTCAGGTACAGCTGTTCCCTCCCCCGTTTCAGGTACAGCTGCTCCCCCTATTTCCAGGTACAGTCCAGGTACCCTACCATCACTTCCTTAGTCCTCAGTGGCTGCTGTGAGTTCAGTATCCCTGGCCCTGTTTTTTAGGGGTGAGGCTCGGGGGGCTGGGGCTCCACGAGGTGGACAGCTTCTCTATGGAGCAGCCAGGGGGTGACGGCAGGGGAGGCCCTCTCCAGAGCTCCACAAGGTCTAGGCCTGGGCTTGAGGATCAGTGGCCTTCAAGGGCAGGTGTGGAGGGCATGGAGGGTGGGGCTCAGATACAACCTAGAACATCAAAGCCAGAGAGCTCTGTGCCCTTGGCCCTCAGGGAACCCAGCACCACTCAGCTAGTGTACATGTCTGTGACTGGGTTTCCCAAGGTGAGGGATAGCTGTGCTGATTTGCAGAGAGCTGCCATCAGTTGAGTCTGGGCCCAAGACTCGATCCCAAGCAGCCCCCACCCCTCATCTGTCCTCAGGCCACTGACAATCCCACAGCCTCGGGCCTGTTTGCTCAGCGACTGAAGACACTCCGGGACAAGGATGGCTTTGGGACTGTCCTTTTTTCTAGCCATGTCCGCAAGGTTAGAAGCTGGGACAGGGGATTCTGGGGGTCACACATGTGGGGGTCACTCTGAAGAGACTGGAGGCAGCCCAGTCCAGGCCCATCAGCTCCAGCTGGGTCAGCGAGGAGAGGATCCAGGAAGGGGAAGCAATAGGGGTAGCTGGGGGCTGGGGCCTGGGTAGATGACAGGGCAGGACCAGCCTGGGCCCAGCCACCTCTTCCATAGGTGAACCGCTTTCACAAGAGGCGGAACAGGGCCCTGCTGCTCACCGACCGACATCTCTACAAGCTGGATCCTGACCGGCAGTACCGGGTGATGCGGGCCGTACCCCTCGATTCGGTGAGCATTGGGGGAGGAGCAGTGGGGGTGAGGGTGAGGGAGGCAGCATCGGGAGTGTCTGTGAGGGACACGGCTGGTCTGGGCTGGGAGTCCTATCTCAGCCTCCTCCCCTCGTGTCTACCTGTGATGACCAAAAGCACCCTAAAACTCCGCCGATGGCCACTGAAAACCCTGCAGTGGCCTCCCATGCCCACAGGGTGGAGGGTCTGACCTTGCAAGCTCCACCGGCACAGCTATCTTGTTCCCTCAACATTCTCAGGCCCTGGCCAGGCCAGATGGCCCCCTCTCCCCACCTGCCTGGGGTTTCCCACTTGGGCGTGCAGAGACACCCCTGAACTTCCAGCACAGTGTGTCTCATGCGCGGTCTGTCCCCATCACCGCTGCTCTCACACCTGCCAGGCTCTTGGCCCACCTGGTCCCTTGCGTCCCTGCATCTTGTTCCCATACACGCTCTCTCCCATAGTTCGGGGCGGGGATCGAGACCAGGTGGCCTCTGGGTCTCCCGTGGTTTCCGTGGTCCTATGTCTTGGGACAGAAGGGCTAAGGGACGGCCCTGTCTGATAGCGCCGCCGAAAGCCAGTGTGGCCGTTTACATGCGGCTCAGGCGCAAGAGAAGCCCGAACAGCTCCTTGCCATGGAGCCACAGTAGCCCTGGCGCTCTGTGGCCGCAGGTGTCCAGCCAGGTCACGGCAAGAAGTCCGACTGTGCAGCGCCCTGCCCAACCC